TTTCATTTCTACCATTAGTGTTTGCAATTAAACATTGCAGATTTAGATTTGTTACGGTATAGCAGCTAAAACATATTCGTTTTCAGCGGCGCTATCTCACTTTGTGTATACACATGTTCATGTGTAATATTGATGAAAATGGGTCATTCTTTTCGTTGTGCTTTGATATAGATGCAGTTTTCAATATGGATATTTTAAGACTGGCTTCATACTTAGTGAGATTCATTAAGCAGATGAAAATAGATTTTCTGAAGTTCTCTGTTCTCCCTGATATGCAGACGAAGTTCGAACAAGTTCCGCCATGTACGGAACGTACTTTAGCCGTGTCTTTGCGCGGTAGATGTTGCTCGTTGTTCAATCTTGTTTGACGATGCGTATTTTACTCAAAATTATAGCTCGCTCTTAAAGAGTATTCTGGAAACAGAGTCCATTTGTGCGTGTTAATTAACAAATTCAATGTCATGAAACAGTGACGTGTCTCTTATACTTAGACTTCAAAAATATACGGAGGTATCATAAGTACATTACTGAACAATATCCAGTATATCCTACTACCGTACGTTTAATAATTAAGTCCTTTTGTAACTGGGTTGTATCTGTTTATAGTATGACAACAATCGGTACAACAAATTGCTCTATGTATACATAAATTCCACATGATATATATAAGGTTTTTTAGACATAGTCTTTTTACGCGCTTGGTATCCGGTCGAAATTCCAAAGTTCTATGCAACGGTGACAAATCTGTTATATACTGGCGAGGAGAAGTCAAAATGGCAGGGTGTCAGAACCGTCGGACAGTTGCGCTTCGAGATGGGTCTGAAACCGGAAATCAAGGAAGATTCTCTATACAAGGTGAGCGACAATTTGAGCTTTCCGCTATACTTAGTTTATTAATTAACATTTTTAGTTTAAAACATTTAACTTTGATAGCGAGTTGAGGGACATCCTGTGAAACTAGTTATTGTTTTTTCACCTAGTTTATTTACGTTTTCTGGTTTCGTTTAGCCAATCGAAAGAAAGCCGCATGTGTATGCACCCCTAGTGATTCCAAAGCATTTGGAGCAGAACTTGCCATTCGCACAAAGGCCGAAGTACGCGGAGATCGTCCAGAAATCAGTAATTCCAAAAATTATCAAGAAGCACACTGCCGTTGTCCTCGAGCCACATGAGAGCAAGGTATGCATAACGCAGCGTATAGTTTAACCGAATATTATGACTGAGTAAAACACAAAATTGATTCTATTCTACTTCGCATAACCTGCTGTACTATACTGTATATTTACTATGCTTTACTTCGTAGTAGATCCATTGCACAGCACGTGTGTGTGCTGTTGTTGTTTGAGATCATCGCCACGAGCCTTGAAAAACATATCTGGTTGTGATATCTGCTGTATTCTCTACTTTAAAGTACCTGCAGTAAGGGATCAGTTACTTCTCTAAAAAAAACAGTTCCTCTTCCAAAGCACCTTCACCTCTATTAGTTTCTTTCATATTGTATCATTGAACTTCTAATGAGAACACCCTCTCTGAAAGACATTATTGATTTATTTCTTAAGTGATTTTATCACATAACCTTTGTTTTGTATCGAAGTCAGCGCTGAGCGGCGACGTTCAGTAATCGTTCTTGGCCCTTTGTTTAAACGACGGCCTTCATTCTGTATCATACCGTTGATCTCACTGAGGCAATGCATAAGCTGATTTTTATGAAAACAAATATTCATTTTTCCTTTAAGGTATTTAACAGTTCCGAAATCCTGCGTATTTCTATGCTGTATTGTGTTACGTATCTGTGCAGCATATTTGCTATGTATAGTCTACCATCGCTGTACCAAAGCAACATTGGACTGTGTTCTAAGATTCAAAAGAGGCTAAACGGCCTGTGGGAAGAAGACCTCCCAATCAATGGCAGGGTGATCTAGGGAAGTTCTCCGGATGAAGATTAATGAAAATAGCAGAGATCATGTTTATGACAAATTCTTGAGCAGGCCTTTTCACAGCAGTAATTTGAAAATGGCTGAGGATATGTACTATGTAAATACATAATTCTTTCCAGTGTAAATATACTGTGTATGTGCTATAGTCAGCATGTTCACATTCCAGTAAAATTCAGTGCATTATTCCTTTCCAGTACAGTGTCAGTTAGCGGCAGCAAACCTGTCACGGTAGTGGGAAGTGGTCGATTAGAACAGTGTGGTAAATTTCGTTATGCATATAGGACAGTTCAGTGTAAAACATGGATATGTTCTGAATGCAATTTCTGGGGTTGTTGTTTGAAGGCTTGCATGTATGAATTCCGAAGAAAGCAGTGAGGTCATTATTTTATCATGACATTTACGATCTACGTACGGGATAGCGATATTTATGTTATCTCGATAGAAAGACGGTCTCTTAATTGGATCGCGGTTGTACCACATGCTCAGGAGGCATATTTTTTCTCTCACTGTTTGACCCTTGTTTCAAGGAATTCTAACTGTTTCTAATTCTTTCAGCATAACTTTTTGTTGATCCGCTGTTGAGTGAAAGCTTTTCCAAGAGTTTATCATAAATTTCTGTTATCTGCCATTTTCATCACCCTTAATCCAGAGAACTTCTTCAGTCTATCCTGCCATCGATCTGGAGCACTTCCTTCGCGGCGTTTACTCTAACGTTTGCCTCGTCCAATGACGGTTGGTTCTTTTTGCAACGTGTCCAGTCCATTGTCATTTTAACTTCTTCATTCTGGCAATAAAGTCGCAAACTCTTATTTAAGCTATTACCCATTCATTCGTCTTCCTATCTTTTCTTGTTATTCGTAACATAGATTTTTCCATGCTGTGTTGCGTAGTTTCAGTTTATGAACACCATTCAGTCTTAGAATCGACGTTTCACACCCTCAGGTTAGTACGTTCATGTCCAAGGTTTCTCTTATTCTTCGTTCATTCCGTGAAAGACTTCGATTCGGTTATTAAATTTGAGTTGAATTGCGGAAGGGTGCACTTTATTGCTTCCACATCGAGCATTTTGCGTTTTGCCCTCATAAATTTCCTTCTTTCTAAGCTGAGTCCAGGCCATCTGACGACTCCGTTATCTTTTCCTACGTTGAATCTGTTGAACACCGCGATGTCCTGTACTGTTCTTCCTGTTACTGAGGATGCGATCGATTTCATTCTTGACTTCCTTTATATACATCTTTTGCCCGTTTTTTCTGACAAAATGATGTTCGTAAATATTTTGTTCTTTTCATCTAATTCCACTGGTCAACTTCCTGTGTCCTTAATGTCACAGCAACCATTCATTACCTTCTTGCATCTCGATATTATCGCTGAAATCACCAACGATGATTTTTTAGTGGTTCTTTCCTTGTTCATCAATTTTTCCTAGTTCTTCATAAAATCTTCAGTTTCTTCATCAGTGTGCCTTGATGTCAACGCATATACTTGGATTAATTCGAGTTCATATCTCTTTGAAACTCTCAAGATTAGTCTTTCACTCCTCTCGAAGGTGCTGTCCATTTGTACTGCATCTTCCGTTGATAATGAATCCGACTCCTCCTGAACTCCAATTTGCGATCCTTTGTAGAACGTGAAGTTTACGTTTTTGGGCTCTAAGAACCCGACGTCCTTTCTTCGAAGTAATACAGCGTTGCTGTTGCTCTTGATGTTTCCAAGTTCTTCTACCAGCTCTCTGAAGCTTTGTTTCACGTAGGAGTGATCTGCAGTTATTTGTTGTCAGCATTTGTAAACTTCGCAGCTTTGATCCGTTACCCGGATATTCTGAGCACCCTCAAATTATGTACCTGGTTAGGCGCTGCCTTCGCCGGGTTAGTGGCCGATGTTTTAACTGTAATTTCTTCTCAGAGGATTTGGCCATAACTCACTACGTTGACCAGGCGGGTTGCCTCTTCTACTCTGCGGGTATACTTCTCAAATTTTCATAGCTTAACTAAATCCGTCAGTGATTAAAGGCTCAGCTGTACGTCACCGTGAGATCCCGTTGTCACCCTCCTGTCACGTTGAGGTAGTGGAAGTAGGACTTAGCTCTTTATAATTATTTACTGCAACTTAATATTTTAAACTTTGGCTTGTTTTTAGGTTGTAGAATTAATCAAGATACTGAAAACTGTGCACGAAGATAACGAGCAAAAATCGCGGCAGATGATGCAGGAAAAAGCAGAGAAGCACAAGAAAGAAATAGAAAAGCTGGAGGCTGTGCAAAACCAACGGCAGAAACTGGTTAAGAAGCGCATTTGCCGGCTGTTAAGCAAAATGGAAAAGCGCAAGCAACGTTTGTACAAAAAATAAAATTTTGCCTGTTCACATGTCTGTTTGCTTTTACACTACGTCAGTAGTCAGCTACGCTGTGTTCGTTATTTGTCGCATCTAAC